CCACCCAGGGCAGCGCTTCGTGGCCCCATAGGGAGCTCCACCGAAGGCCCCAGTGGCTGCTCTCGCATGCGGTTCCCCTACCCAGGGCAGCGTTTCGTGGCCCCATAGGGAGCTCCACCGAAGGCCCCAGTGGCTGCTCTCGCATGCGGTTCCCCCACCCTGGGCAGCGTTTCGTGGCCCCATAGGGAGCTGCACCGTAGGCCCCAGTCGGGGTACCCGCATGCGGGTCCCCCACCCAGGGCAGCGTTTCGTGGCCCCATAGGGAGCTCCACCGAAGGCACCAGTGGGGGTGCCTGCATCCTCTCCCCCACCCAGGGCAGCGTTTCGAGGCCCCATGGTGAGCTCCAACGAAGGCCCCAGTGGGGGTGTTCGCATGCGGTTCCCGCACCCAGGGCAGCGTTGCCCCAGTGGCCATCCTGTGGTGTTGGGTCCTCGTTTTGAAGAGACAGCGCCCCGCGTCCCACCGCCTTCCTCCTTTCTCCTCCTCTCCTCTCCTCCTCCTCCCTCCTCCCCCATCCTTGCCTTTGCTCTCCGCATGTCTCAGCTCACCCCCTCCTCCCATCATCACCATCACCATCACCATCACCATCACCATCACCATCACCATCACCATCACCATCACCATCACCATCACCATCACCATCACCATCATCATCATCATCATCATCATCATCATCATCATCATCATCATCATCATCATCATCATCATCATCATCATCATCATCATCATCATCATCATCATCATCATCATCATCATCATCATCATCATCATCATCATCATCATCATCATCATCATCATCATCATCGTCATCGTCATCGTCATCATCATCATCATCATCATCATCATCATCATCATCATCATCATCATCATCATCATCATCATCATCATCACCATCATCGTCATCATCGTCATCATCGTCATCATCGTCATCATCGTCATCATCGTCATCATCGTCATCATCGTCATCATCGTCATCATCGGCATCGCCATGGCTGATTCGTTTCGTGGCCCCATAGGGAGCTCCACCGAAGGCCCCAGTGGGGGTGCCCGCATGCCACTCCCACGCCCAGCACAGCGTTTTGTGGTCCCATAGGGAGCTCCACCGAAGGCCCCAGTGGGGGGGGGGGGGGGGGGGCGCATGCGTCTCCCACGCTCAGGGCAGCGTTTCGTGGCCTCATAGGGAGCTCCACCGAAGGCCCCAGTGGGGGGGGGCGCATGCGCCCCCACGCCCAGCACAGCGTTTTGTGGCCCCATAGGGAGTGGGGGGGGCCGCATGCGTCCCCCACGCCCAGCACAGCGTTTCGTGGCCCCATAGGGAGCTTCACCGAAGGCCCCAGTGGGGGGGGGGGCACATGCGTCCCCCACGCCCAGGACAGCGCTTCGTGGCCCCATAGGGAGCTCCACCGAAGGCCCCGGTGTGGGGGGGCCACATGCGTCCCCCACGCCCAGGAGAGCGTTTCGTGGTCACATAGGGAGCTCCACCGAAGGCTCCAGAGGGGAGTGCCACATGCGTCCCCCGCGCCTCGTGGCCCCATAGGGAGCTCCACCGAAGGCGCCGGTGTGGGGGGGCCGCATGCGTCCCCCACGCCCAGGACAGCGTTTCGTGGCCCCGTAGGGAGCTCCACCGAAGGCCCCAGTGGGGGGGGCCGCATGCGTCTCCCCCACCCAGGACAGCGTTTCGTGGCCCCATAGGGAGCGCCACCGAAGTCCCAGTGGCACTGTTCGCATGCGTCTCCCCCACGCAGGACAACGTTTCTTGGCCCATAGAGAGTACCACCGAATGCGATACTCACAACGACGGTATTCACAACTGCATATGGTTGGGTCCTTCGCCAGGCTAATTTTTTTCAGTTGCACTGGCCCTCCTGGGGCTCGCACACTTTTTATTTACAAGGGGACACCTTGAGCCTCAAACTGCGATGTTGGCCTCTGGTGTGCTACAACGGCTCCCGCTGGATACTTCCACACATTTCTTCAACGATTTCTTCACACATTCTTTTCGAAGATGTGGATGCGGATCTGCTTTTCGCCCACGGGTTCAACCGATTCCTATCCCCACTGGCGTGGCCTGGGCCCACCGGCCGACCTGCCCTCCCTGGACGGGGATATAGGCTGTCCACTCCGGGCTTGGAGGGGCCTATCCCCAACTAAGGTGGTAGAATGATTGGGCTGAGATGCCGTGGCCTGGTGGGGAATGGGATAGGTTGAACGATACTGGAACCATGGACTGACCCAGCGCTGGGTACAACGCCCCTCGGAACAATAGCGTTACAAGGACACCGGATGACCTATCTCGCAAGCAAAGCTGCAGTGGCCTCGCTGGGTCCAGCAACTTTCCACCTTGCTGCCTAGGAGGAGGGGAAGTAAGGGTGGGCATTCTCTGATAGGAGACATGTGCTAGATTTGCACTGGGGGCTCAAGGTGACTACGTTTCCACAGGCAAGAAAAACATGTTCTGACGAGATGCTTCCAACACAGGGCACGCGACACACTATCGGCTTGTTGATGCGATTTGGACTTTCCAGCCTCCCTGCGTCTGTATACAATTACGCTGCTCTGTCTTCTTACCGCTGGCAGTCGATCACGGTTCATGCTCGGGGATCGTGCTGATGATCATGTTGCGAGACGGCTTACAACAAAAACTCGCTCACTATCTTCACCACCTCTGGGCCCTCCTGTTGTCGACTCCGAGCTCGAAGACATGACATCCCCAGGTGCAGAGTTGCTACAAACGCGTGGAACCGAGTCAAGCGATTGAGGCGAGATGCTCCCATAATTTGCACACGAGCGACGAGCAGAAGAGCAAAGCGTGGACAACAACAACGTCCTGATCACAGCGGCCAAGGCCGGCTGAGGCGACTGCCTGCCGAGACCTGTGCGCGCGGTGGCGCGGTCGGGCAAACAATACCATGTCCCACCCCATGGCGTGGGATGACACAACACGGCGACGGTTCCTGCACAGGCACCGGCAATCGCGCACAAGAATGTGCCTCCGCGGTCCACTGAAAGGGCCCACCTGTGACGAATACTCCGTCCCTGACAGTGGATAGAACTGGAGGGAGAGAGAGAGAGAGAGAGAGAAGGAGAGGGCATGAGAGAAAGAAAGAGAAAGAGAGAACGATAGAAAGAGAGAGAGAGAGAGAAAGAGAGAAAGAAAGAGAAAGAGAGAACGAGAGAGAGAGAGAGAGAGAGAGAGAGATAAGGAGAGGGCATGAGAGAAAGAGAGAACGAGAGAAAGAGAGAGAGAGAGACAGAGACGTGGCAAGGGAAAGAGCAACATCAGACAACAGCCCCCAAGCGGCAGTTCCAGGGAACTCGCCGACCCTTCGGCGTGGGGACGACACCGTCGTCGTCGTCGTCGTCAGCTGTGCCAGGACATAGAGGAGCAGAGAAATCCAGGAACGTCGTCGTTGAATCGGAAGGAGGACCCTCCAATCTGACCACTTCCCTGCCAGGAGTGGGGGGGTAAGGAGCGGGTGGGGGAGGTGGTGTGGCTCACGGCACCGTCCGTCACCGTCTTCCTCCTCCTCCTCCTCGGAACGTCGTCGTTGAATCGGAAGGAGGCCCCTCCAATCTGACCACTTCCCTGCCAGGAGTGGGGGGGTAAGGAGCGGGGGGGGGGAGGTGGTCATAACGTCACAATACCTCCCCCGAAAGGTCCAGGGGGAGCGCCCCCTCAATCTGACCGCTTCCCTGCCAGGAGTGGGGGGTAAGGAGCGGGGGGGGGGGAGGTGGTCATAATGTCACAATACTCCAGATTTCGTGATAAAGGGAGGGGGTTCTCATTTCGGGGGGGGTCTCTTCCAGGCTATCTTGGAGGGCCTGGGGGGGTCTGGGGACGATGTATTGGAGGGTTCTCCCACGGGGGAGGTCTGAAATGGCTTGTCTTGCAGGGTCCAGACCCCCTCCCTTTTATTACGAAATCTGGAGTACCTCCCCCGAAAGGTCCTGGGGGGAGGTCGCCAGCGGGGTTCCCAATACAGGTCCCGCCTTCCGGGTCGGCGGCGCTGGCCGCAAGGCCTGTGCCGTAGTTATCTGCAATCAGGAAGCACTTGAGTTGCGAAAGCTTCGGCCCACGTCGGCATGGGTCAGCTAAAGGGGACCCAAGACTTCGTACTCTCGTCTTCTCTTGAAGAGCATCCCCTTATCCCAAATACCCATACAACAAGTCAGCACCAAAAACCTGTCGCTGCGCGTTTCGGGAACCTTTCGCCAATCTGCCGTCGGTCTGCTGGGTCAGGGACTGGCCTCCCCGCTTTCATTTCCAAAGAAATGAACCCTCCCCGCTCGAAAGCCACAATACAACTGGACCAACGACAGAAGAGCCTCCTTCACGAACACGAGACCCTCCGCCAGCAAAACTGCAGGACATTCGAAGGTAGACCCTTCCCCAGGATGCACAAGAGCGTCCGACAAGCACGAAGAACATCAGGGGGCACTCCCCGAACCGAACTCGATCTCATGCCTCGGTCCGCCGCCGAATTTTGTGTTTGGGCCAGAACTCGGGTCTCCAGCGGCCGCTCGGGACGATCACAGCACCCCCAGAACGCTCGCGGCGAGGCGCAGCCGCTGGAACGCATCCCGAGGCTGGCAAACCGCCGGGAGCCGACGAGAACGTCCGGAAAACCTCATACCTCGAACCCGAAAACTTCCCACTCGAACCTCACTCCGAAAATCTGTCGCTATGCGTTTCGGGAAGCACCTTCGCCAATCTGCCGTCGGTCTGCTGGGTCGGGAACTGGCTCCCCGCGTCCACTCAAAGAAGAGCCCTCCCCGCTCGCAAGCCACAAATGGAGAAACTAAAAGGTACCGAATACCTCTAGCCCCTGGACCTCTCCCGGGGGGCGCTCTGGCTAGAATTTCGAAGCGAATCCACCGGTGGCAACGAGGGCCTCCGAGGAGGCCGACAAAGCGGAAACTGGACAGGGGTAGAAGTGTTGGTACATTCTCCTCCTCTGAAGGAGCAGTCCACACTCATCGGAGAGAAGCAGTGCTTAGCTGCGGCAAACCCGTCCGGCGAACGGAGTACACCTGGGCCGTGTCTCCGACCTCCTGGCAAGAGGCCGCAACATAGCACGAGAGAGACGGGAGGCAGACGAAAAGATACGGCCGGACCTGGGACAGAGAAACATCCTTCAAGAACACTGCGTTCGAGGGGACCCTCCCCTGGGATGCACAAGGATATCCAACAAACACGAAGAACATAAGGTACCCTCCCCGAACAGACCTCGATCTTACACCTCGGCCCGACCGTAAAGCACCAACTCGCGAGCCGCACACCATCGGGCGAGGAACCACAGACTGCATTCATTCACGGAGCAGCCTCGTGCCGCCACAGCATCTGCCACCACCTCAGACCTGGGCAAACCGAAAAGGTACCGATATTGCTGCTCCCCGGACCTCTCCTGGGGTGCGTTCTGACCAGAATTTTCGAGTCGAATCCAGCGGTGGCGACGAGATCCTCCCAGGAGGCGCAAAAAGGGCAAAACGAAAGAAGGGTAGAGTTACGTCGGGCCTGTCCCTCTGCAAGAAGAATATTACAATAGTGTAAAGAATCAGATCGGGAGTTTATTAATATTATTATTATTATTGTTGTTATTATTGTTATTATTATTATTATTATCATATACATATTGTTGTTTTTTTGTGTGTGTTTTTTTTTGTTGACTATTGGAGGGTATTTTGGATAAAGTTTTAATTTTCGCCCGAAATCCGCACGTAGGGGGACATGCCCGACCTAACGATAGAGGTATGGATACCCTTTCCTCCTCCGAAGACCTGCCAACGCCGGACGTCCAGCGCCTGCAACAAGCTCTGGGACGCGAAGCGCCGAGGCCAACCCTCGCCAATGCTTCCCGAACAGTCCAGGCTGGCGATACTCCCGACCGGAGTGCGAAGACGAGGCCAGGCTGACGTGGAGTTCCATCGCTGCTGACAGAGGAAGCTTGGCAGTGGCCAGGGAACATGCGCTGACTGGGCCCAGAGGAAATCGGCCAAGAGGAGGGGAGGGGGGCCATACGCCACGAAAATATTCACGCAGACGCTCTCCGACGAGCTGTGCATATACTTGTGGGGAGGGTGGCAGTGTATAAGGTCGCTGGCTCTCAGTGATGATTTTTACACCGCCACCCTCCCCTGAGGCCCAAGAATAATCCACTGGAAAGTGTCTGTCTATACATCTTTGCGGCAGAGGGCAAGGCAAGTCCGCTCAAAAGCAGTCCCTGGATCCCTCCAAGAGATCGAAACTGAAAACATATAGCCGAGTCCAACCGCGTGCGACGAGGTGCCCCCCTTCTCCCCCCTTCTGCGGCAACTCATTGGGGGCCTCCCAGACCATCCTGTTGACTCTTGCGGATCGACGCTTACCAACGCTGAGCGATGCTAATTCGGCGCTAACTCGGCGTTATCATTTCGATTCCCAGACGGTAACCGACGCGAACACCTTCTAGAAGCGGAACGACGAGGGTACACAAGGCATCAACGTTTTGCTACTGAACTCCCTCCCTGTCTGCTGCGCCAAGCGATGCGGACTCGGTGCCAAATCGACGCGATCATATCTATTACCAGACGCTGACCGACGCGAGTGCCCTCTAGAAACTGAATGACGAAGGTACACAGGGCACCCATGATTTGCTGCCGAACTCCCCCCCCTGTTTGCTGACAGGAGCCAGGTGCTGGGCCACCTCAGCGCCCCAAGGCACCGCCGGAGTGTCCGCCTCCAAAGCGGGGCGGAGGCCCAGGGCACCGCTGAAAGTGAGTCCGAGCACCCCTGCTCGGCGCCGCGGCTTCCTGGCCCCGAGGGCGCCGATCGTCCACCTGGGCGCGCTGGCCACGGTGCACAGCTGCCCGCGCTCCCACCGAGCGGGTCCCAACAGCCTCCCATGGCTCGCCAAGCTTTCGGGCGCCCGCCTCTCCGCGAACGCCTCGGTGGGCGCCGCGGCCTCCTGGCCCCGAGGGCGCCGATCGTCCGCCTGGGCGCGCCAGCCTTGGGTCGGGCATGTCCTCCTACAGGCGGACCGTGAAGACAAATAAGAAATAGTCAGAACGTACCCACCAATATTCTGAGCAATAGTCGAACAATCGTCCACAGACTACCGTTTGACTATTTTTGAATACTCCTCCTGTAGAGGGGCATGCCCGACTTGACGCTAACCACGGCGCAACTGCCCCGCTGCGCATCGCCTCTACCGAACGAATCCCCAACAAATCTTCCCGGTTCGCCAGCTCGTCGGGCACCCGCTCAAACGCCTCGGGGGGGGCAGCCCGCCCCCGCCCGTGGGCGTTGCGAAATGAGGGGGGGGGGGGCGATGCATTCGACGTCAAAAGTCCCCCCCCCACCAAAACCACCCCGACAAGCGAAGCCGTTTAGTAAACGCACCCATGGAAGGAATCAAACAGGGCAGGGCTGTTTATTAAACGCCAAGGGCCGTCCGATCTACTTTCAGCGCCTTCCTACGTCATTCTTCTGCCCACTTCTTCCGACAGATGGGTAGTGTGTTGGAGCACTTGACCACGGCTGGCGCCTCCTCCTCCTCCTCCTCCTCCTCCTCCTCCTCCTCCTCCTAGCTCGCTCGCCCGCCCCCCCCCACACCCCCGCTGCTGCGCGCCGCCAGGGCTCCTCGTGCCTGGAGCCGCGCAGAGGGGGGGGGCAGCGCCTTGCCCTTTGATGCCTTTACCTCATTTTCCCTCTCTTGGGCCTCCTTGGAGGCCCTCGTCGCCACCGCTGGATTCGCCTCGGAATTCTAGTCAGAATGCACCTTGGGAAAGGCCTGCGGAGTAACGGTATCGGCATCTTTTGGCTTCCCCAGTGGGGGTGCGATGGACGGGGGCCTGAAGAAAGGTGCCCGAATGGGGCCCCAGGGGGGGCCCTTCCAGGGCCGAGGAGGGGCACAAGAGATACATGTTTCTCCCCCCCCCCCGCCCCCCCCCTTTACGTATCAAGGCAAGAAAAACCACCCAGACCCCGACAACTGGCGTGAACGGAAAAGGTGAAACCACGCGATCATTAAAGCGGGAAGGCGCTGGAAGTGTGCTGGAATCTAGGAATATAAGCATACCTACTTTTCAACGACCGATGGGCACGAGGCAGACGGGTCCGAAGGGAAGCGGGTCCTGGACCCGGGGGCCTCCACTGGACCAGAAAACGAACGACGCCACCCCGCCTACGGCCCCACGGGGCATAGCGCGTGGGCGTTTGCACGGTCTACGCTGCGGCCCCCGATGGGCCGTAGCGCACCAGGGAGGGCTGCAGGTGGGGTGGTGGCGTTTGCTTTTGGGTCGATCCACCCTGGAGCAGCTGCTCGTCGCCAGCCGTGGCCGAAGCCTCCGGCACTCTGCAGGGGCCCGTGGAGAGGGCCCGTGGAGGGCCCGCCTGCTTATCCAGGCGTCAACACATCGCAATGAGGCCGCCCCCCTGGCGCGCGCCGCAAGAGTCGGGTCAGGCACGTCCTCCTGCAGTTGGATCGGGCAGTACTCAAAACACATCAAATGTAGTCAAAGAAACGTCCCCAGACTTAATTTGTTACTACTTTGAATATTCCTCTGTAGAGGTGACATGCCCGACTTGATCCTACAGGCGGAGATTGGAAGAAACACGACGATATAAAATCAAACATGTTCAATTTAGTCAAAGATAATCCGTTACTAAGCGGGACCTGCCGGGCTTAAGGTAAGGGCGACGGGGAAAGATAGGGGGGAACGGGCTCGGGGGGAAACGTCGAGCTTGGGTCGGCGATGCGTCGCCAACAGATCAGCCGACGGTACAGCCCCCGGTGGCGAGTCCGCAAAAGTTGCTGGGTGGAGTGGCCTAGCAGGCCCCTGTCGACGATGAGTGGGCGATCGGGGGTCGATTCGCCCCCCCCATGATCCGATCCACCACTAACGTCAAGTCGGGCATGTCCACCTACAAACGGATTTCAAAGACATATAACAATAACCAAACATATGCAAAAGTGGTCAAACATCGTAACACACATCGTCCCCATACTATCGTTTACTATGCTTGAATATTCCTCCTGTAGAAGGGACACGCCCAACTCAACACTAACGCTGCCCCTCTCGGCTTTCGGGTCCTACCTCGGGCTTCTGGCGGACGTCCGGGACGATCCGGGCGCCCCAGGAAGGAGGCCCTCGGGGAGGCGCGGCTGCTGGAAGGCATCCCGAGGCGGGGGGACACCTGAGAACCGACGAAAAACCGTCGCAAAGCCCCGATCTCCGCACTCCGAAGGCCCCATCACCCTTTTTGTTTTAGACCAGGCCAGGCGGATTTCGGATGGAATATCAAAATAATGGAACAATGTTCAAAAATAGTCAAAAGTATTCAGAAAGTCGTACCCAAACTGCATTTTTACTATTTTTCAACATGCCTCCTGTAGAGGGGCAGGGCCGACTAAACCTTTGCCCCTGACGCAAGAGAGCACTTCCGTCGCGGCGATCACGGGCGTCATGGGGCGGGGAAGCGGGCGAGTCGGGGGCAAAACGTAACGCCCCCCCCGTCGTGTGGGCCTGGCACCACGCACTGTGGTGCTGGACGCACCGTGGCAGCGCCGGAGCAGCACTCGAAGGGGGGGGGGGGGGGGGCACGTTATTAGAGGCCTCCCAGATGGGGTCCGAATAGGTGGGGCGGAGAAACGCGCCGCATCGCCGATGCATCGCCGCCTTCGGCGTGGCAAACATTAGGCTCCGCACCGAGCCGCATCGCCGATGCATCGGCGGTGCGGCGCGATCATCCGACCCCATCTACTCGGACCCCATCTGAAAGGCCTAGAGTGAGGGAGGGGGCGGGGGGCATCACGCGCTAAGGCCTGGCCCAGAGGGTACAAGAATACCCTACAACTAGGAAAGAGAAGTGGGCGGCGGCGAGCCTTCGTACTTGCCTTCGAAGCTCCAACCGTCCGGCCACTCGAACCTGCGACGGCGCGAGGCGCCGGGCCAGGCCGAGCGCGGGGCGAGATCTGGGCGTTACTTGGCGGGGAGCCCCCCCAACGGGTCGATGGAGCGCACCCCTGCCGCCTACCGTACGGCGAAAGCGTTTCCGTGCCCGTGTAGACAGAAGGGTCAAGAGCATTGTCGCCTCAGCGTAGGCGGCTGGTGCATTTCCAAGAAAACATAAAGGAATCATTGACCTGGGTCAAGCCACGCCCAGGTCAGTCAGGCATCGCAGGATCCTGCAAGATTTTGGGCGCCACCCCAGGCAAGTGCAGCCGTGGCCCTGCAAGGTGCTGCAAGACCTGACGCTCTGGCAGGCCCCCGTCTGCATCGACCCTCGTTTAACGGTTTCCGAAACAGCCTGGGCCGCGTGCCCTGGGTCCCCCCCGGGCCGTGCCCACCCGGGGTCACCCGGGGTGCTTTCGCCCGCGGGCGTTCGCATGTGGCCACCGAGCCGCGGGCCCAGCGTCTTCCCCCTCCCTGGGTCGCCCCGTAGACCGTGCCCTTCCCGGTGGTGTTTCCTCGCCCCTGGAGGCCGCGCGCGCGCCCGGGGTGCCACTCTGCCCCCGCGCTCCGCACGGCCAGGAAACAAAGGGCGGCGCGGCCTACAGTCGGGGCCTTGACCCAAGGAGCCCAAAATAAGGAACGAGGCCACTTTTTTTTCCATAAGTTAAAAACTTCGATTTCCGATCGGAAACGTAAGGAAAACCTGAGGCAAGCTGCGAAACACTTACGGAACGCGGAGCCCCTCCCCAACGAAAAGGGTTCCTTCTTCAGGGCCCCGACTGTACGGGACACGGATGAGGAGAGCGAGAGGGAGGGCGAGGAACGACTCCGCTCCGCGCGCGGGGCGCCTCCCGAGGAGGACGGCGGCGGGGCCGCAACCCCCTCAGAGAGAATCCGTCCCTCTCCCTCTGGGCCGTTTTGTGGTCTCCTCTATAGGCCCCCTGGCAGAGCTCTGGATCCCGGAGGGGCGGGGGGCACGGGGAGCGCGCGGTTTCGTGGCCCACCTGCGCCGCGCCAGCCTCGCATTCGTCCAGGGGGGGAGGGGCGCGACGCGGCCGACGGGAGAATGACGAGGAGGACAAGAGGGAGGAGGGCACGGGTCGGGGGGTTGCTGACAAGGTGCCCCTGGCCCAAGCGAGGTGCCCCCCCCAGGTTGTTGTTCACTTCTCGGGCCCCTGGGGCCCTGCGGGCCTCGGGAGGGGTGCGATGCAGGGAGGTCGGCGCACTTACTCGTAGGCAGCATGCACCTCCCTGAGGGGCCCTCTTGCGCCCGCTTGAGGCGCTGATATCTGATGTGCGGCGGCAATGGGAGCAACGCCGTTTTCATGATCCACCACTTTTCAGGTGGAGGAGGAGGATGATTGGAACGAGTGCGAATCGATGATTTGTGTCTCCCATGGTTTTTCGAAGCATCTTGGGGCATCTTGGAAGCCTTTGGGGCCATCTTGAAACCACATAGGGCGTCTTGTGGCGATTTTTGGGCGTCTCGGGCCGTCGTGGTCCTCTTTGGGCCCAGTTGGTCTGTTTTTGGGCTCCCATCTCTCCGAAACATTCATGCGAGAAACCGCGGGGGACCCCGGGAGAAGATTTCGCGATGTGGGGCTTCGGTTTCTGAACGACTCCTCAAGGGTGAGGGCGGAGGTTGAGAGGATGATGGCAAGAACCTGAGGGCACGCCCACTCTGTTCTCAAAGGCACGGTGGCGGATCTACAGATCCATGATAATTCGATGATCACGGTTCTGACGGATCGCATCGCGCTTTCGAGCTCCAGTGGGGAAGCCGCCTGGGGGTATTACGATTGGTTTTTGGTTGGAATAGTGGGGGGGGGGGCAGTGACTCGGGTTAGCGGTCGGTAGATTGGGCGAGGTGGCGCATATCATCCAGCAGCGACGGCCCCATCCCCAAAGGGGAAAAATGAGGTTGGACAAGGAATCGCGCTGGACCATCTCCTGCCCAGAAGGCGGGGGGGGGAGATTGAGCGAGGAGCCCCCGTGCGAGAAATTGTCTGGGTCGGTGTCGGCGGGGCCATTATCGTTATTTTGGGCCCTGCAATGCCGCCCGTGAGGCGGTCCGGCCGGTCTTGTCGGAGACCTTCCTGCAATTTGTGGGCTTCGAGATGCCGCGCGAAAGATAGTCCGGCCTATTTCGCTTCGACATCCTCGCCGACGCCATGAGGCTGTCCAGCCCTTTTGGCTTGAGACATCCTCGCAGTTGGGGGTTTCGGGGCGCGCGAGGGATCCATCCAGCCTCTGGGTCGCTTCGCACTTCGTCGCAGCTCTGGGCTCAGATATGACCTGGCCTGAGGTCGTCCAGCAATCTTCACCCGATGCATCCTCGTTATTATGAGTTAGTTGGGGTCCTTGTCTTGCTGTTTTCAATCCCGTTTCTCGCTGTTCTGGGTTCGCAGCTGCCGAGGCGCCCGAGCCGCCCGCGCCTGAGGCGCCCGGGGCGCACGAGGCGCCCGCGGCCCCGGCGCCCCGAGGCGCCCGAGGCCCTGAGGCGCCCGAGGCGCCCGTGGCGCCCGAGGCGCCCGAAGCGCCCGAGGCGCCCGAGGCGTCCGAAGCGCCCGAGGCGCCCAAACAAAGCGCCCAAGGCGCCCGCGGCGCCCGAGGCGCCCGCGGCGCCCGAAGCGCCCGAGGCGCCCGCAGCGCCCGAGGCGCCCGCGGCGCCCGGAGCGCCCGAGGCGCCCGCGGCGCCGCGCCCGAGGCGCCTGAGGCGCCGCGGCGCCTCGGCGCCCGAGGCGCCAGAGGATCTGGGGGCGCCGCGGCGCCGCGCGGCGGGCGCCCGCGGCGCCGGAGGCGCCCGCGGCGCCCGCAGCGCCCGCGGCGCCCGAGGCGCCCGGGGATCCAGAAGCGCCCGCGGCGCCGAGGCGCCCGCGGCGCCCGCGGCCCCGAGGCGCCCGCGGCGCCCGCGGCGCCCGAGGCGCTCGACGTGCCCGACGCGCCCGAGGCGCCCGCGGCGTCCGAAGCGCCCGAGGCGCCCGAGGCGCCCGAGGCGAAGCGCCCAGAGCGCCCGAGGCGCCTGAGGTTCCCGAAGCGCCCGCCCGAGGCGCCCGAAGCGCCGGGGCGCCGAAGCGCCCGAGGCGCCCGAGGCGCCGAGGCGCTCGAGGCGCCCGAGGCGCCGAGGCGCCCGAAGCCCGAGGCGCCCGCGGCGCCGCGGCGCGCGCCCGAAGCGCCCGAGGCGCTCGAGGCGCCCGGAGCGCCCGAGGCGCCCGCAGCGCCCGCGGCGCCTGCGGCGCTCGCGGCGCCCGAGGCGCCCGCGGCGCCGCGCCCGCGGCGCCGACATGCCCGAGGCCCCGGCGCCCGAAGTACTCGAGGCGCCCGCGGCGCCTGCGGCGCCCGCGGCGCCCGAGGCGCCGGAGGATCCGGAAGCGGCGTCCGCGGCGCCCGAGGCGCCCGCGGCGCCCGCGGCGCCCGCGGCGCGCCGGCGCCCACGGCGCCCGAGGCGCCCGACGTGCCCGAGGCGCTCGAGGCGCCCGCGGCGCCGGTGGCGCCCGAGGCGCCGGTGGCGCCCGCAGCGCTCGCGGCGCCCGAGGATCCAGAGCGTCCGCGGCGCCGACGCGCCTGCGGCGCCCGCGGCGCCCGCGGCGCCCGCGGCGCCCGCGGCGCCCGCGGCGCCCGAGGCGCCCGACGCGCCCGAGGCGCCCGAGGCGCCCGCGGCGTCCGTGGCGCCCGGGGCGCCCGAAGCGCGCGACTTTAAGCGCCTGAAGCGCCCGAGGCGCCCGAGGCGCCCGAGGTTCCCGAAGCGCCCGCCCGAGGCGCCCGAAGCGCCCGGGGCGCCCGAAGCGCCCGAGGCGCCCGAGGCGCCCGAGGCGCCCGAGGCGCCCGAGGCGCCCGAAGCGCCCGAGGCGCCCGAGGCGCCCGCGGCGCCCGAAGCGCCCGAGGCGCTCGAGGCGCTCGAGGCGCCCGGAGCGCCCGATGCGCCCGGGGCGCCCGAAGCGCCTGAAGCGCCCGAGGCGCCCAAAGCGCCCGCGGCGCCCGAGGCGCCCGCGGCGCCCGGGGCGCCCGAGGCGCCCGAAGCGCCCGCGGCGCCCGAGACGCGCGAGGCTCCCATGGCGCCCACGGCGCCCGACATGCCCGAGGCGCCCGAGGCGCCCGCGGCGCCCGCGGCGCCCGAGGCGCTCGCGGCGCCCACGGCGCCCATGGCGCGCGGGGCGCTCGAGGCGGCGCCCGAGGCGACCGAGGCGCCCCGGGCCCCGGGGCGCGCGTCCTCTGTGGCGGTTGCGGGATTCAGCGCGCGCGCTGCCGACGACGTTGAAGTTCCTTTGCGCTTGCTTGGTTCAAGCAAGCGCTGCGCGCTGCGGAAAAAAGGAATGAAGGTGCAACGAAATGCGCTGGAACTGTTCCATGTTTGAAACGTCGCACACGAGCAGAGCAATCGGCCCTGCGCTGCGTCGGCCCTGCATGTCTCGAATGCGCAACCACGAGAAGAGGAAGCGCACATTTACTAATGGCAACCTGGAAGCGTCGCGAAGGAGCGGCGTGATCAGGAGAAGCCGAGGACCATGATGAGATGCGCAGTCAGCAGGGTCGGATGAGCCGCGCAAATGAGGCTGGCGCTGCCCCCCCCCCCCCCCTCCTTCTCTCCTCGGCGTCGCCCGCGTCCGTCTTCTTCCAGAGCGCACGTGCGCGCGATGAAACAGCGCAAATAAACGGTCTCGGCGCATGGCCCGCCTTGCTCGCGCCCAGCGCCGTCGAATGGGGCGCTCAGGGGCGCGCCGCGGTTGCGCCCGCGCCCTCGCCCTCCCTGACCTTCTCCGCGCCCCCCCCTCGCACCCCGCGCCCCGCGCTCCCGATGAAAGTGTTGAGTCGGGCATGTTTCTCTACGGGGGGGAATTTTCAAACGTAATCAGAACGTCGATATGAGCAAGATGTTTCTTGACTATTGTGACTATGTTTGATGATTGCTAGGCTATTTTGATTTTTCGTTTAGAACCCGCCTTGGGGGGGACATGCCCGACCCAATGAAACTGC